GCTTGTATATTTGTATATATTTTTATGGCTTTTTTTCTGTATTGTATTTTAATGTAATATTTTAAATGGCTCCTTGTAAAACAGCCTTTAGCTGACAGGATTCCGAATAAACTTATTCAAAACCAAAGCAGTTAGCCAATTCGGCTAGCGAGTTTGCAAATTGGCTGCCCCAATACTTATGAAACTTGCTGTAAAATCAAGCATTTCTTTCATTTCACACCCAGATCTTGGTTATACATTGTCAGCTGTATGGTTGATACATTGAACCTATATATAACAGGAACTGATAGAGTTTCTCACATACATTGACTGATTGCAATCAAACTTTATATGTATACATCATGTCATTGTTTGTTGATTCAAGATGGCTGACTGATTTGTTTATTGCAGATCGTTTGGTAGAGTCATCAGCTTTGAGGAAAACTATAGAGGCAGTGTACACATCTTACTTACCGAAGAATTCACATCCATTTCTGTACCTAAGGTGAGACACATTTGTGGCTGCAATATTTTTGTGCGTCCATGTGCTTCTCCACCTGTATTTCAGACATGCCTTGACCCGATTACGTTCAAACTTTACACATACATCCTGCATTTTAACATACATTTGCACATCCATTAGTTTTGCAATCCGTTTCGAGATGGCCAAATGATTTTTGTGCTCACATTCATCAAAACCAAGCCTTTATGCCATTCCAAAACCAGATCTCTGCTGTGTATGGTCAATTGGGTGCATACATTGGACGTTCTAGATCTGATTTAAAATTCCTGACAGGCAGCCATTTTCTTTTCACAAATGCTGTTCCAGAGTTGAATGTCTGATATACATCATGTCACATATATGCATATTTATTCATTTGGTGATCCAATTCAAAATGGCTGCTATTCAGAATCTGAATCTCAGTTGTGCATGGACAGATTTCATTCAAACTTGGTATTTGATGCATGTCATTTTGTTTTAGTGAATGCAGTTTAAACTTTGAAAATTCACAGAGACTATGTAATGCAATTACTAGGTATCCATTTTAAAAAGTGTACTTTATAGGTGTCATAAAATCTGCATTGTACCTGTAGTCTAGTACCATTAGTCTAGTTTTAAATTCTTCACTGTTGTCGGCTAAAGTCACCTGAAATTATCTGCATTTGTCATTCTAAATAGAAGTATAGATATATTTCTAAGTTCAGAGTTCACCCTAAAAACCCACTCTGTCAGTCTCAGCATTACTCTTCCACTGCAGTAGAAATAATGACAATCTTTTAGAGCTTCCACAAAAACTAATGATCCATGTATGTTTTTACTGTCTTTCATATCTTGGTAATTCTTATCGTTTTACAATGACAGTAATAATATGAATGTAATAACATTCTACTATTTTAATCTTTTTATAGTTTAGAGATTTCTCCTCAGAATGTTGATGTAAATGTTCATCCCACAAAGCATGAAGTACATTTCTTACATGAAGACATGATATTAGAGGAAATACAGCAGTGTGTAGAGCAAAAGCTACTTGGTGCTAATGCATCCAGAACATTCTTCACACAGGTAATTGCTAACCCTGTTTTGTAATGACACAACATATTCATCCTAGAATTTCTGGAGAATACCTGTTATTTTCTATTTTCCAATTATAATGCACTTTTGTATCAAGCCTAACCAACTAAACCTATCATGATACACCTTTGTCCCCTGACATTTTTCCTCTGTCTAACCCACTAAACCAATCAGGATGCATATTTTTCTTCTGACTAACCCACTAAACCAATCAGAATACACATTTATCCTCTGTCTAACCTGCTAAATCAATCAGGATGCACATTTTTTCCTTGCCTAACCCACTAAACCAATCACAATACACCTTTATCGTCTGTCTAACCCACTAAACCAATCAGAATACACATTTATCCCTGGCCTAACCAACTAAACCAATTAGAATACACCTTTATCTTCTGTCTAACCCACTAAACCAATCAGAATACACATTTATCCCTGGCCTAACCCACTAAACCAATCAGAATACACCTTTGTCTTCTGTCTAACCCACTGAACCAATCAGAATACACATTAATCCCTGGCCTAACCCACTAAACCAATCAGGAAGTACATTTATCCCTTTGCTAACCCACTAAACCAATCGGAACACACTTTTATCTTCTGTCTAACCAACTGAACCAATCATAATGCACTTTTTTTCCTTGCCTAACCCACTAAACCAATTACAATACACCTTTATCTTCTGTCTAACCTGCTAAATCAATCAGAATGCACATTTATCCCTTGTCTAACCCATTTAATCAATCAGAATACACATTTATCCCCGGCCCAACCCACTAAACCAATCAGAATACACCTTTATCTTCTGTCTAACCCACTAAACCAATCAGAATACACATTTATCCCCTGTCTAACCTGCTAAATCAATCAGAATACACATTTATCCCCGGCCCAACCCACTAAACCAATCGGAACACACTTTATCTTCTGTCTAACCAACTAAACCAATCAGGATGCACATTTATCCCCTGTCTTATAATTTGGTCTCTGTTCGTCTGGAGTCATATTTCAGAACCCTGTGGACCAAATCTGTTTATTCTTTGCATGTGCCTCGTACTTTATCTGGGATATATGCACATGCAGGGTTTACTGATTCAATCCAAGTTAGCTACCTGGCAGCCATTTTGTTTTTGAAAATGTGGTATCTTATGCATGCTTATTCAAATGGTGGCCAAATTTGGTACATACATTGTACATTTTAGATTACATGTCCATGACAATTTGTTTCATAATGAGATCAAAGAAGGCTAAGGGATCATTTTATCATATTTTGCATATACTTCATACATATTGGAATCTAATTTATACTTATACTAGACCAGCCAATTATTCACTCTCAATTACTAACTATGCTTTTGGTCTATATTTTATTTTTGGCATGAATAACATTTCCTCTGATTCCAACGACGACTATTTCCTTAATAATGACTTGTTCGTAATGAAATCATAACAATAATTGTATAACTTGTATGATTTATCTGATACATGTAACTCTTATAGCTATTATATCATTCTTACTTTCATGGTTACACTATTTTCTATATTGTTGGTATCCAATATATTATTGTTATTACATTTCCAGGCTTTACTCCCAGGTGCTTCCATACAAACCTCTGAAATTTTACCGAGCAACACTGGTAAAAGTGGGGACAAGGTCTATGCTCATCAGATGGTGAGAACAGATAACAAAATACAGAAACTAGAAACATTTCTTAACAAATCCCAGATTTCATCGCCCTCTATCATTCCTGAGGAAAGTGCTACTTTGAGTTCTTCCAGGATTGCTACACCAAGACCTAGCAGTACCAGCAGCATAGATAATTCACCAACGTCTGCCAGTACAAGCGACAGAGGGGCTGTCCGAGTTGCCCGTACTACCAGTGCTGATGAGTTCAAGGAAGTAGCCAGTACCAGAAGCTCAGGGAGTGTCCAGGAAGTTGCTTGTGTCTCTTTAGGTGACACAACAGTTGATTTTACTCAGCTTGATAATTTAGGGAAAGAAAACAAATTGGATTGTACTGTAAATGAAATAGAGGAAGATAATGAGTTGGTTACCATGGATACTTCTGTTTCAGGGTAAGTACATTATAATAGTTACTCCAAAATGGTTAGAACATCATACAGATGTGCTTCTTTGCTTAGAAACTTCATCATAAGCTCTGATTGACAATCCTAGTAAATTATGATTCACTTCTTTCCCTTGCTTATTAACTAGGGTAATATTCAGATATACTCAACTGAACTACCTAGTACCTGAAGAGGATCTTTTAATCACTTTGAAAATTATTCTGTTAGTGTCGTCCAAGAGAATCAAATGCGTACAATGACAATGGTCTATCTTCAATTATGAAAATCTGAATCTAGCAATCTGATTGGCTGAAACAAGGTCTTATACCTGGCACTGGAAGACCTGTGATCCCACCACAAAACTTAATGAACTGGCTTAAATATCTAACTGAAACGAGATTGACTGTGAGCACTGTTTATAGTGATTGCGACTGTGTGATAAACTAATCAAAACAGGCAAACCGAATACGAATTATTATTGGGAAAAATAGTAATATATTGCGCATTTTGTGAAAAAACTCCCTGTGAGAAACATGCTTGTTCATTGCAGCATAGTGTTTGAATTGAACACAAGATGTCATCGACGTGTTCGTTCCTGTCACTCGCCAGACCTGTCGTCTGTTTTTGTTAATCAACGTAACTGCAAAGAATCATAACTAAAAACTTTGTATATTTTACTGTTTTTGCTTTGTGTTTATATGCGGAAATAGTGTATAGTCACTATTGCCACTAGCTCATTGAAATATACAAGAACTGTTGACCATTTTGCCATATGCCTCACCCATTTATGCATATGTTCTATAGAGCATGTTTTAGCCCTGAACTTGATATATGATATCTAGAACACGCACTACGCAGCAGGTAAATTTTAATCCTTCAAAATGAATTAGAATGCCAGTTTACACAAATAAAACCAAAATAATGCATTAACAATGAAAATCGGGGTTTTATGTTTTCACAATTTTAACACTTTTAGGTGTTTTTAAAAAAAAACTTTTTCATCACCCCTTACAATAGTACTATAATCCAAGAAAAGACCTTGAGAGAATTAGAAATTTACACATAGCAACATGATATAAACAGTAAGTTTGTAGTGTATTTCTTGTGCCAGCATGTTATAATGAGTTTATAAATGGTAATCTTGGGTAAAATTAGCATATTTAGAGCTTACACTTGGTTATTATCTCCCACAAAATATGGTAATTTTACCTAGAGAGGTCTTATATCCACTACAAAATAGCCTCACTTGCCATTTATAACCTCTAGACAAAAGCATATTTTAATAATCCAGTATACAGTATGGTTGTATCGACTGATGCCTGCTCACTTTATTAGTCCCCGTTCGAAGTCCGAAAACGGGGACTTATAATTCGGTCTCCGTCCGTCCGTGTGTCCGTCCAGAGTTATATTTCAGAATCCTGTGGACCGATTCTGTTCATTCTTTGCATGTGCCTAGTACCTTATGTGGGACATATGCACATGCAGTGGTTTAGCGATTCGATTCAAAATGGCCGACAGGCAGCCATCTTGTTTTTTGAAAATGTTGTATTTTAAACATGCTTTGTCAGTTGTCATTCAAACTTGGTACATAGATTATACATGTTAGGATACATGTCCATGACGATTTATTTCGCAATTGGATCAAAGATGGTCGACTGGCAGGCATCTTGTTTTTTTTTTATGCGGTATCTTGGATGTGCTCTGTCAGTTTTCATTCAAATTTGGCACATACATGTACTTTATACATGTTAGGATGCATGTCCATGACAATTTGTTTCAAAATCTGGTCAAGGATGGCTGAATGACAGCCATCTGACTTTTTGGTCTTACTACTATATTTCCACAATTTATGTACCATTTTCATTCGTATTTGGCACATACATCATACATATCAGTGTGTTTTATAATCAGATCAAAGATGGCCGAATAACGGCTGTTTTTATTTTTGGCCATATTACTACTACACTGAACACGTGTTTTGATGTAAATAAACAATCTGGGTCTATACGCCACTTGGAACTAAAGTTTCAGGGACACGCTTGCGACAACTTCTCCGCTTTAATATGACGAGCACAAAGAGAACTTTCAAAAATTTAACTGGGAAAGTGTCAATTTCTAATGACTTGTATTATGATCACTTCAACAGGAAACAAAGAGAATATGATAGTGATTGTCAGGATAGTTCTAGTTCATTTGTTAGACAGCCACATAGAAGAGAGATTACACTTACTAGTGTTTTAACACTACAAAAAGAGATTGAACAGAATATGCACAAAGGTTAGTGAGTGGGCGAGTGTGTCTTGCATTCAATATTTTGATGATCTGGGGGGCAAAATACTTATCTACCATAATAATTACCTTGACAGTAATGATAATAAAATGGTATGGTAAAGAGGTTACCTTGTCTGTTGCCTGGGTGCAATATTGAGCAGTTGTAATAGTTGTGCTATGTTTTGTACTCTATGCTTTCAATACCCTTGTAAACAGGAGTTATTTCTAAGGTTTCTTTGATTAAATATTTACACATAGTTGTTGGTCAAATACTTCTTAAATTCTAACTTGACTCAAAACTAACTGGAGTTGTGTATATATTTCATATATTCTATGCATTTATCAAGTTATTCAGATATCAGGAATATTCTATTTTATCATGTGTATCCGTCACTGCATCATATTTCATGCAGTTATTACTTGTGACAGTTATTGCTTATTGATGTCAATCTCCATGCAAAACCTTACACATTACTTTTGTTATTTCTTTACAAAATTTCTGTTTGTAGGTTTAAGGGATATGTTCAAGAACCATACTTTTGTTGGCTGTGTAAATCCAGAACTAGCTCTGATGCAACATCATACTAAATTATATTTAGTAAACACTGCTAAAATAAGGTCAGTTATGCCAACAGAATATTTTTTCTCAATTATATATACGTCATATGCAACAGAATGGGGAAGTGTTTGTTTTCTGTTTCCAAGAATCTTTTGTTGATCAAACAAATAGATGTATTTGAAACCTTTTTTTAAATAAGTGTTGAACATATCATTTTAATACAAAAAAATTAAATGCGTATCAGCATCATCTTTCTATATTTCCTAGGATGTGAAGCAAAACTTTACACTAACTTGTAGTTTATCAAAATGTGTGAAAAGAGAAAATGACAGAATGTTTTTGCTTTTTAGCACTTTGCTTTTTTTCACCTGGCTTGTGCATTACTGCACTGCATTACTAGACATTTGAACTCACTTATAATTTAATAACTTGAATGTGCATGGGTATAATGTCAACGAATTTTTAGTAAAATTGTTCTTTTCGAATGCATCATCATCTTAGGCAATGCAACACAAGACAAATAACAACTCAATGACTCAAAAAAAACATATTGAAAATAGTAGTAGGTAATCATAATCCTTTTCATACATATTACTGTTGTTCATTGATCAATTGCTCCTACACCCCTCCCATCACATACAATCAAAGACCAGTCAATGCATTTCATCCACACTGGCAAACAAGTGTTGATAATTTATCATGCACAAAATTTACTTTGTTAATTTATTTTTCAGTCAAGAATTTTTCTACCAGCAATTCATGTATGATTTTGGTAATTTTGGATTCCTGAGATTGTCGGTACGTGCAGCTAATTCTCATTATTTTGCAGTGACTTATAATGACATTACTGATAAAATTGAACAAGAAGAGTAATGGTTTTGCAAGACAATGGATGTATTCCTCTCAATACATCTATATCATATGCTTGAGTTGTGCTGTCTCTCATTTCTGAGTCTGTAAACAGGCCCCAGGCAACTATTGACAGGAAATGATACTTGGGTACTATGCATCTTCAATTCTATAAACAATTAGCTAAATAAAAAAAAATGAAAAATTACGTTATACATTATGTCACAAATGTTGACATGCATTATTTCAATTCTGATTCTAAATGACAGACTCAAATCAGTTTTGTTTACTACTAAACTATTTGGGACTCTATCATGTTATTGAGTTCAGCACCTTTGAATAACCTTTCTATATCAGGGCAGCCTAAACAAGTGATCTACTTAATATATTTGTATTTACCTGTCATTCAGTTGAAATAATAAATGTTTATCAATTCCTTGTATTTGTCAGATATAATTATTTTGTTTTCACATTTTCTCTCAGACACCTGCTCCCCTTTATGAATTGGCCATGATAGCCCTTGATTTGGAGGAAAGTGGATGGTCTGAGAGTGATGGTCCTAAAGAAGACCTTGGGCAGTATATTGTTGATTTTTTCAAGTCCAAAAAAGAAATGTTATTGGATTATTTTTCAATGGAAGTTGATGAGGTATGTCCATTTATTACCCCTTCTTTATTTACTCTGCATGAGTGAAAACATATATGATAAATAGGTTGTTACAGGTATACCTGTTATATTACACTGCATGCTTTACATCAGTCTGATCTTGATATTTTGAATCATCAGTTTGCATAAAGATGATGACATCACAGTCATGCAATAATCTTTAAATATATCTACTCTGTAATTTCAATCACATTATTCAAAATCAATATTTTTCACTTCCAAGTGTATATTGGAATCTTGTACCGAGTTCTTGCTTATGAGTTAGGTCAATCTTGAGTGCAAAAAAGCCATCATTTTGTTTGTTGTTTCACAAATTATTTAGCGCTTTCTGTTAACAGACTGATAGTTTAATTTTGAATGGTGTTTCAAGTTATTTTAGCAGCAACACAAAAGTCCTGCAAAGCACCATCTTTAATCTCGTTCAACTTGAACATTGAATAACTTGCCCACAATTCACAAGATTTGACTATCTATGGTTGTGTCAATTCTATTTTTAGTAAATCAATGAACTGCCCGACTGCACTCAATTGCCTGCTACGTATTATGACGATTATGCTACACAAAGATTTATGTTGCTGTTTTTCAGGATGGTCAACTTTGCACTTTACCACTATTATTGGAGAATTATATTCCTCCACTAGCAGGTCTGCCAATGTTTATTCTAAGAATAGCAACAGAAGTAAGTGAATTTGTTGTGGTATTACTGCATGTACATGATCCTCAATGACAACATCATTTCTATTGTCTGTATTTGTCTCAAGTTTTAAGTGATAAGCAAATTTTTGTACACTGAACCATTGCTGTCTGTTTTTACCAAAGGTTGATTGGGATTCTGAAAAGGCTTGTTTTGAGTCATTTGCCAAGGAGTGCAGTAAGTTTTACACAATAAAAAAAGCATTTGTTTTTCCAGAACAAGGAATCAAAGAAGTAAGTCTATTACTCTTATGCGCAGCAGAGTCCACCTTTTGAAACAAATCCTGTTTTCTAGAACCACTCATATTTCACCTTTAGAGCCTATGTTGCTTTGAATAGTTCTGACAAAAATAAACCACATTTTGCAATAAATAGCACTTCCATAAACAATGGTACAATAAGTTTTATGAAGTATATGATTATAGTTTTCTCTTAAATTGGGAATACTGAGTTTTCTCATTTGCATACAGTACATGTCGAATGTGAACCAACGTCAAGTCACAGGCTGAAAATATAGTCTTGGGAAACACCATTGTGTATATCAGTTAAATAGTAGACAATGGAATTTGTTCAATTGGTACCATCATAGTGAAGCACATAGATGATATACTTATTTCTAGCTTGTAAACTGCCTTGCATAAATCAAATAGCAAACCATGAAGACAGTTATAAGAATGTTTTACACTGCATGTCGGACAAAATTTCCTTATCTATGAAAAAAACACACTGTGAAATAATCATCATTACTATTGGCAATATTGGGCTGAAATCTACCAGAAAATTAGTATTAGACTTGAAATAATGTAAAAGTTTTTATTTTATTTGTATCCACAGACTGATGATGCATGTGCTGACTCATGTGGTGATAATTGGAAATGGAGTGTGGAGCATACACTATATCCAGCTTTCAAAGCTATATTATATCCACCTGCTAGCTTTGCACAGGATACCAGTATACTGCAGATTGCCAATCTTCCAGACTTGTATAAAGTATTTGAAAGATGCTAGATATAATTTATTAAAATCCAAATAACAAAGGAGTGACTTGATGGTCAATTTAGTGACAAATCATGCAAAATCTATTCATGATAACATGTCACAAACACCATAGCAACGATGTATCAAAATCTAAGTATGGTAATTTGTTAAATAAAATCACTCCAAAGCCAAGGCTCATTGGTTATGTAATTGCCATTATCTTTCTCCAATGAAAACTTGTGCTAATAATATTTGTCCACTCATTTGAGAGAAAGTGCAGCTGTATAATTGATACATAAATATATTACCATGGCAGCCATGCAAAACAAAAGTGTCAGCACCCTAGCTAGTCATACTCCTATGTAGCAGAGTATCATCTAATGTTACTTTATTGTGTAATTCATACCTTTGCTTTCAAATTATAGTATAACAATTTATTTGTATAATTACGTGTCAACATTTTACAGTTTTTCTTGGACATTAGGAAGGGTTAATTGTTGTAAGAGATGATACAATTTTACATCTGACTGTCATTCACATTGACACTACAAAATAACCTGTAAATTGTTAAAGTATTGCTAGCTTTAACTTTATTTTACTAATAAATTGTTCTATATTTACATGAATATATTTGGTGTTATTAATTTATCAACTACAGCATCCCTGGGTTGTAGTACTGTCACAACATAATTTGAAGCACTATCAATTTTGAGTAACATGAATAAAAATCAAATGTTAAAGTTACTGTATTTGTGAGTTATACCTGTTAAAACCTGACACATTGCATTGTTTATAATGTGTGTAATATAGAATAGAGAATTCGGTGTACAATTCGGTGACTAGGTTTACACCCTAAGATGATGAAAACTCAATCACAACCGAAGCCACAGAACTGCTTGGTAATGTTCGACTATTAATTGACAAGGCAGACATCCAGCAAATCCTGTAGGTGTTGTATGTATCACAGTACACATATTACTTTACATTTCAAAAGTCAAAATACAATACAACATTAAATGTTGATGGTTGTCACACATGAATTTCATGTAAATAATGTATGTTACACATGTCATGTATGACACTACAGTCCTCTGTATCAAACAGGATGCAGCACAGCGAGCGAGGCCCTTTAAGAGTTAATCCAGCAAACTAGTGAAAAAAAAAAAATTAAACACTAAAAATTGTACAAAAACTTGTCTCTATATATACAATGACTTTGCCAGCTCCCCATATAGTTAACTACAGTCCCTCTATGTGGTTAAACCCTACTAATAGTGGACATTTTCAATTAAAATATGGGCAAATTACATGCATCAGTAGATAGTTTGGATACCTGATGTTTTTTTTAGCTCCGCTGTCGACTTTGTCGAGCGGAGCTTATCATATGAGTGATTGTCGTCGTCGTCCGTGTCAATGTTTTACTTTTTCGACTTCTTCTTGAAAACTACAAGCCTGAATGCTTTGATACTTGGTGTATATGTGCCTTGGGTAGACC